TAACTATTAATTAGAAGAAAAAATGAAGAAAAAACGAAAAAATAGGAGAAATGCGAAAGAAAAAAGGGCGCCAACCAAAATATAATAATCTTTTGAAAATGTAAAAATAAATGAGAGAGATTTTTCATTTTACGCATTTTTATTGGTTTATCGGGCACTACTACAATTCGTCGCATATATAAGAGAGGATACATTAATTGAATGAAGATATTTAGTGTAGAATGCTATTTAATTAATCACTCTGACAAATGTTTTTCTTCAGAGAATAATGGCTCTTTCTTGATAAGACTTTTTTTAAATAAAGATCTGAATTTACAGGTTTTTTAAAATTAGATTAACTAGAATTTAAATGACAAAAACTCAATGGAATTGAATTAAAAATGAATTAAATTTTTTCTAGTATGAAAATTAAAATTATATAGAAATAATGTTTTGTATTCAATAATTCGTAGTGATGCAAATTATGTATCGTTATTTGGAAAAAATATGACTTAAGCAGTAGCACATAAGAAAAATAAGAAAATCTAGTATTTGAGTTACACATGTGTTGATAAGAATCAAAATTTTTCAACAAATCATACATGATTCTTGAAATTCAATCTTCTGTATTCCAGAGATAATCGACAACATTTATTTCTTAACACAATTTGTAGACGAAACACTACTTCTATTTGTAGAAAATGTAAAAAAAATAATTTGAAATACTCTCAGTAAAGTCTAAACCAACCTTGATCATATTTTCTTAAAATTCTTTCCAATTTAAATTTCAACAATTTTAACTTTAATTTTAAACTTTCAATTCTAATTCTTATGAGGGTTTAAAAATTTATTCCTCCATCCAATAATTCTTTTAAATTTCAATCTTCGCCGCATAAACGTGAAACCTATTTTGAAAATGTTTGAACCACTTTATCCACTAACCGAGCATGTTTACGTATCACAGAAAACTGCCCCAGACAGTACTGAACGAATTATATACTTAAAAAAAAAGCGAAATTTGCTTTCATTGATTTCTCTTTTTAGGTGAGGATTTCATCAGAATTTATCCCCTTATTGCATCTACAAATATTCAGAATCGGCATTGCAAACAACGAGTACAACCTCATCATAAACGTAACAATAATCTGACACGCACCACAGAACTAGTTGTAAAACATAATATAATTGTACTCTCTAACTTTTTACTTTTATATTATTTCATTAGTTTTCTTTGTTTTGCTTATTTACAATACATATGCCTGTGAAGAGTATTTTAATATTTCAATCATTAACACGAAACGCGTCATCGAAATAAAGCTCTGCAGTTATTTAAACATTCTTTTCGTTAAAAGATAGACTGATTTTTTTCTGAATTGATTTACCTGCACTCTCAAGATTGTCATCATAAAATTATAACACATGCACATGAATATATGTATCTAATATTTTTCATCAATCGCTTTAGCAAGTTACGGTCATGCGAGTCAAATGATTAGTGATATTTGTAAAGATAAACAAAATAAATAACTATTTTTAGGAAACGAAGATAAACAACTTATTTATATTATTCTGCTAATCATGTTCTTATTCTTTCTTGAGCATTTCAAACTCAAACTGTAAATGGCACATAGAGGATGAGAAAAACATGTGACGATAAAAATTTTATACTAGAGGACATTGTATTTTAAAAATCTTTTTGAGTGTAAAATAATTGAAGGTGTGCATTATTTACTATATGATTGCATCGATTTTTTCCAAAATATTTTCTGTTTGCGTCGTATTGAAGGTGAAGTGAGCTTTTTCACAAAGTGACATTTGATTTCTTTTTGTAGACAATATGATTTCGTCAGAGGACAATTCAACAGAAACTTTGCTCGTGTTTGAAACTCAGGAGACACGAAATATCAAATTCGGCCTTTTTTTTGCTCTTGAACCAGCTGCACTAATCTGTAGCTGTGCTCTCGTCTATTTTCTCATCGTCGATCAAAATCTACGGCAAAATCGTCATTATCATGCTCTTGTGGGCTTACTCATTGTCAGTTTGGTGACGAATCTTATAGAACTACCTCGTATTATACATTATTTACATATTGGCATAGTAACACCGCAGACTGATCTGAATTGTAACATTTGAATATGGTGTGCTTGGACGTTCAATGGTTGTATCAATGTTATGATGCTTTGGGCATCGATGGAACGTCATCTACTCATATTACGCGCCCATCTTTTTACTACAACCAAGGAGCGTTTATATTTTCACTATTTGCCACCAATAGCAAGCGTTGTATATCTCTTTCTCTTCTATGATGCCGCCATTTTTATTATTGTAGAACTCACATATATTTTCGAAGAAAATGGTGAGTGTAAGTTTAAAAGCGATATTTTTGCGGCTCCCCATCCGCTTCCCATCACAGACATTAATGAGTTTACAATTGTGCTAATTAGAAGCTTGACCAATTAGACTACTATTTTTTCCTTTTTTAATTACAGACCATAGTAACTAGTCTCTGCCATTGTTAAATATATGAGCTAACAATTAATATTCCATTACAGACATAAGCAAATAGGCAATGACCTAATTATAAGTTTTGAAAATTAGGGTAGATTTTTCAGATGAACTATTTTGAATTATTTTAGTAAGCCGAAGGGATATATATGAGTTCCACATTTTAGCGCCAAACGGGCTGCGCTAACAAGCTTTTATATTATAGTTGAATATTCTCTCTTTGTTTTTTTTATATTGTATTCAACATGTTGTGAGCGTAAGAATAGGCGCATCACATAGTTGTCTATGAAATTGCCAGTGTGACGAAAAAAAAGTTGGCGCACCAATATATTGGTAATGTAAAAATAAAAACGAACGATGATAGTCATATATATTAAATCAATAAGATTTGATTCTCGATTTTGCGCGTTAGAATTCTATGTATCGTTCTAATGACCTCTCTTTTTTTGTTGAGAAACAAGTAATATGGTCATAGAGTCCGAAGATCATAACTCTCGCATGTGTTGTTTTTCAATCTGATCATTCCTACTCATTTCAGATGATATCCATCAGTTACTTTGAGTACATCGACAGAGCTAACATTCACGAAGATCTGATTTGCCAACATTATAATAATCCTTTTGTGGATTCAGTTGTGAGTCAAATCGGTTAAGCCTGTTGTCGGCAATGACACATCTTGTGTCATACAGGCGAATAACCCTATATTCTACTCTGAGCAACCAACAACAAGCCTTCCCCGTAATTTTATCTCAATGCTTGGTAAACTTCCCGCTTTGTGAACTAAACAATTTATGCAGAGGCGAATTCGATAAACACATGAACGAATATTGTCCTGAATTTCGAGTACATTGTCCAAGCAAAGACCTTGGTTGTTCATCGTTCAGACAGAAGAATGAACTTATAAATCACACGAATGAGTGTAGTTTTGAAGATTTATGACCAACGATTGACTTTTTGCATAAAAAGATTCGAAATCAGAGTTCATATATCGAACAATTCCTACAACAAGCGAAACAAGAAAAGATTCAACTAGAAGAACAATTGGTGAAAGAAAGAATTCAATTGGAAGAATATATTAAACTACAAAAAAGTCAACACGAACTGGTAATTAACGAAATTGAAGAACAGAACACTCAATTTCAACTAATTTGTAAAGAAAATCAAAGCCGAAATAATCAAATAACATTTTTTAGTGACCAAATTGCATTACTCGAAGAATAAATTAGAAAGATGGATAATACAATACAACTTGCCTGTGAATACATCTGTTTATAGAGTCGGAACTGGAAATATATTCTCATAGGAATAATATCTATTTTGAGATGATCATGAATATTTTTACTCATAGCGTTAATTCTGTGAATTGTCAGTTTATTCTAGTCACACTCAATGTTCCAATACATGCTCTATGGGAAAATAATGGATTAACCATCGCTGGAGGTCATGAAGAAGGCACAGCTCTTAATGAACTTAGTTGCCCTTGGAGTTTGTTTGTCGATGATTATCGCTGATGGTGGTAATGATCGTATCAACCGATTTAGAATGGATGATACGCGTGGGCAAGTAGTAGCAGGTGGCAATGGTGAAGGAAATAAATTGGATTAATTGAATAGTGCAAGCGATGTGCTAGTTGTTCAAAATACGAATAGTCTCATTATCTGTGATCGACAGAATCGGTGAGTCCTACGATGTTATTTTCAAAGTGACACAATTTCAGGAGAAAGCCTTGTTGACAATATCGATTGTTGCGGAATTGTCATAATTAGATAACCAGAGATATCTCTATACTTATAATGACAAGAAGCATGAAGTTAAACGATATAAACTAGGAGACCAACATGGAACTCATGTGACTGGTGGTCATGTGGAAGGTAGTAGCATCAATCAATTGAATGAGCCCCGATACCTGTTTGTCAATCAACATCAGAATTTGTACGTATCAGACAGCAAAAATCATCGTGTCATGAAATGGAATAAAGATGCAAAAGAAGGAATTATTGTCCCTGGAGGTCATGACAAAGGAAATACTTTGAGACAGGATTTTCTTTATCTCATAAAAAATATAAAAAGGATCCTAGGTCTAAAAAACAGTAATCGTATTTTTCACTGCATGACATGACTATAAAACGACATTGAATTATCGTAAAGACAATAGAAGGCAGTCTGATTTTAAAGATATTCATGATACAAGGAACTAATCATTTGCGCAAGTAGATTTTTAAAAATTACTCGTCCAGACATTTTTCTTCTCCGTTTATATGCGAACTTTATGCAATGTTGCTGACACATTGTGCACACAGAATTGATTTGAAATCAAATCATTTCTTCTTTTCGAAGCCATCATTTTATTTAAAATAAAAATAAAAGAACAACAATTCTCGAATGCAGAAGGGAGTAGCATGGTGTACAAAGAAAAAGAATGATTTTGATTTTTTGCCACATCACACATAAAAAATTGAGTAGGTAGTAAACAGTTTGTCTCTATTCCTAAAGCACTTCCACCTTCAACGCGATAATGAACAACGAAGGTAGGCATTGCTAGATGATGTATTCTCTATATGGATATGACAATTTTTAGAGTTGGCAACCTCAAGATCTCACTGGAGTAAAATAAAAGGTGCTGTACAAGGTGCTCATGGTTTTAGAAGCTCAAGAGAAGGTAACGATTTTCTCGTCAAGACACATTTTTCATTAAATCACGAGTATATCCTTTTCATATTTAGAAAAGAAATCAGACAATAGACTATTCATTCGGTTAGAACGAGCTTTAAAAAATTTCGGATTGAATGATAATGCCGGAATAGAATATGATAATAACCCAAAAGAATACAATGTTATCGTTGCTGGTCCACCTCGTGGTGGAAAATCAACATTGATCGGAAGTCTCTGTGGTCGAGGAATAAATGCAACGAATATACACTTAGCTTCGCGTCAAAAAGAAGTTAGCTGTTTCGTTAAAACCGATCAGCACAAAGGTTTTCCTCACAATGTTAAATTTTGGAGTACAATTGGCTTAGACCCTTGGAATAAAGATTCCGTTAAATCATACATACATGATATCGTTCAAGTTCATTCTCCAATTGTTCTTCTCTTCTGTGCTAGTCCTTTGACTGTCATCACTAAAGAACATTTACACTGGTTGATAGAAAGTTGCATTGAAGAGAATATCTTGTGTACCCTCGTATGTACCAACATGCATGCTAGAGTTCGACGAAATACTGTTTCACAAACTTTCAATGAAGTATTGCAACCTCGTACTGCTAATAGTTACTCTCTAGTACCAGGAAATATTGACTCTGAAAAACCATACGCATCGTCAATAACATTGTACAATGATAGTAAAACGAATAAGCCAGCGGTCCTCACCTGTCAAGTGAACAGCATTGATGAAAGCTCCTCTGAAGGTGGACATCAGCGTTCTGGTGTGTTCGAACTGATTCTAGCTTTGATGGATTTATTACCTGATGATAAACTAAACGAAATAATCTATATGGTATTAAACAATCGACCGTTTTGGATGTATGTTGGTCAGACTTTTTCTCATGATTGGAATGACAAATTTCTTACCAATTTCCGTCTTTGGTACGAAAAATTTGGTTGATCCTAAAATCGTACTTTCCTTGCTCGTGGTCACTTAAGAAAAGACTCGTCTATTCAGTTTTGTCATGAAGTCTATCATAATGAAAAATAAATGAATTTCCTTACTGTAGCAAACTACGGGTGTATTCAAACACGTTTCTATTACGTTTAAATAAAAGGAATCCGAAAAACTTTTGTATAGTTTTGAATAATTCTTGACTGGGTGGTCTAACTCTATCAAATGAAAGATAAAAATTGTTACTTTATTAACATCTAATTTCAATTACCCCCATTGCAAGAAGAGAATGACTCTTATTTGCGAATGCTTGTTGGACACGCTTGTGTATACAGTAATGGCCATATTCTTTTGCGTGTTATCAAGGGTATCTTCATCCGTTGCGTAAAAATCATTTGCTTGTACTCGTTGATTAAATTCATAAATTTTATTAAATCTTGAAAATTCCACAGCTTAAAATAAATAAATATTTAATTTTCAATCATTCAAATACAATTGAACGTAATCTCATTCATTTATTTCATATGATTCTGAATGCATCATTCTCGTAAATTTGAAACGAATTTATTATAGAATCGGTATCTTCTTTTTATATTACTATTTCATGTAAAACGGTGAGACTAAAGAAAGCAAGCCACCGATTTTCGAATTGCCTGAATAGAACGAGCATGAGAAAATAAATCAGTTCTCGGTTGACAAGTTTTCGTGCAAACGAATAATACAAGCAGATAGAAATGTTCGCCGTGCTAACTGTTTAAGAAACGATCAACGTTTTCATTTTCAAATTAGTATATTTAGTATTTTTTTTTCTCTATAACGAAAATTTGAATAAAAAGAAGCAAGATGTTGATTCAGTAGAGTATAAAAGATACTGTTCCATCACATGTTTATTATCGAAATTCTGATTAGTTGTGATGCAACTAATAGATACTGTTGCGTTGTGTCAACTTGCTGTAAATATTTAATCATTTTTTATTCTTATCTGGAAAATAAAATTTGAAGCATCGCGATTACGATCAGTTAAAATTAAAATAAACATTACTTGAGTATTGTAATTAGATCAACTGAACTTTAATCATAGCAGAAAAATGCATGACAAAAAATCCGAAGTTGATCTTCTTGAAAAATAAAATATATCTCTTCTCATAGTTTGAAATCAATGGAGTTGAAATACAATCACGAATATGATACATCTAACTTTTTATAATAAAAAATAATTTCAAGCTTGTTTATTAATACTTTAAGACTATCATGAAAAGACGAAGAAAAACGTATGCATTTCATGTTACCGATTTTTATACTAATTCAAATATATTGATATTCTTCTTATTCTCTGTTTTTCCTATTTTGTAAGTCGGGAAGCTATAAATCAATTAAATTCTAATAATCATTCTTTGTTAAAATGTGACTCTCTAATTATAAGTATATCTTTTTCTGCTTTGATGACATATTGATTATATTCAGTTCTTATTCAAGTTCTCAGGATAAAACGTTAAAAAAATTCTATCTTTAGGACCCTGAGGGGGACCACAGGTTGGCTTTTTTAAATGAACAGTCATGTCTTTCTTGAAATCGTTTTTTTCATTCCGCACGTCCACGTTTGCCTACTGTTAGCAAGTTTGATATAACAGAAGATAATACCTTCGTAGAAAATTTATATCCGTGTGTGAATATCAAGTAGTCAAGAGACATTTTCTATCTCTTCAAATATTTTGAATTGGAAAAGATAAAGCCAAAAAGTTTTTATGGTTATTTGTTCTCTATAAAATGATAAAGAGATTCTATCGTAATGATTACTGTTGTAAATTTATGCGATTCATCGTATTCAGATCAAATCAACACTCTCGCTGATATACTAATAAAGCATACGGGTACACAACGGTAACATTCATCCATTTTTGAAGTATTAAAATATATGCATGCTTCGATGCATAGTATAACACTGCTGCTTGACAGTAGATTTAAATCGATTCGACAAAATCTAGGGTAGTAATGACTGGACATTGTACCCTTAGCTTCAATCGCTGAAATTATGCGATATACTTCTGATATGTTTTCAAAGTAATATCACTTTCATTTTGGAATGGTAACATCCGATAGGGCATTGGGTTCTCAATCGATTTGCTTAAGAATAAGTCTGTCGAAAACACGAATTATTGGTATATCGTTTGGCATTTGCTATGCCATTGGTAGTGAGTGGTATGTGAGCTGAGACTTGTGTTCAACTAGTTATCTAGTCAATCAGTAGAAACTTACAGCGTTCAATCAGCTCTTGTAAACCTACATCTATCAATTGATAGCACTTTAAAAGCCCTTCATCATTGCATATTTTTCAGATTCCAAAGAAACTGGTCGATTGAAACTTCCCTATCAGATTCTTCACCAGGCACGATTTTATAACATTTTGACTACTGTTCCGGAGATTTTGGCTACAAAAAATACAATATGCAGCAAAACTCATGAGACCTTTGGAATCAGGATTAAAAACTGCGTCGGCCTATGAATGTCTGAAATATGTTTTGCGAGCGTGATTTTTCGTTAAAAAACAACCTGTGATCCTCTTCAGGGCCCTAAGAATAACGTTTTTTTATTCTATTTTCTTTTAACGGATTAGTCACAGCCGCAAATTTTCTATATTTGAGATGCCAACGCTTGACTTCACGAACCCACATAGGTTTCGTTGAAATCCCAGAGAAACACCCAGGGACCTTCCCTCGTTCAAAGTAATTCAGAATCTGCGGAGTGGGGGTGTGTAGCGCTCCCCACAGAGTCGCCACCCAAGTTCGTCTCTGTGAACGAAGACAACATTTATCTTCAGTTAGGTTTTATCTCGGAAACTGAAATCGCTGCTGACGTCACTTACTACCATCATACTTTTAGTAATCCTACACCATTGAAAGCAATTCCTGCAGCAGAACTTATATATATATATACCTAGAACCAAGGCGTTAGCTAAAGATATGTTTATGATTAGTTTCGTTTTGTTTTTGCTGTTTATATTAGAACAGGAATCAGACAGGTACTCAGATGAAGTTACGAAAGTCGAAAATATTTTAGTATTTATTTTACGCTTACTTCATAAAGATAAATTAGAGAAAATATTTATCCATATTTCTTTTTAATACAAAGATATTATTAATCTTTATTTCATAAAAATAACGACTGTATTTATATTTGTTTGATTTATCTTCTTATTCTCAACCAGGGATATTTTATTTTCTATTTATTCCTTATTGTAAAAATATATAAAGATAAAGTAACACCCAAATTCGAGAGTGAACCATCTGTGCGAACGACTATCAAATTTTATTTTAACCAATATTTTCATTCAATGCATAAAACATTTTTCTTTTCTTTCTCCAACAAATGATTTTCGTATTCTTTTCTTTTCTCCTCTGCTTCGAGAAAATATTTATACTATCCAATTCTTTATCGATGAAATCAAGCAACTATGTAACACAAACATTCCATAAAAAATTCAAACGAGACTCTCTTTTGCATATAAACAAATTCCATATCAGTCTCAAACTCTATTCTTATTCTTTTCTATATAAATTCATGAATGAGTATCATATTTTGAATCTATTACGAAAGACATAAACAAATGATCTCAATTTTATGTCTACTGAAGCATTTCATGATACAAAAAAAAGTTTTAAATACGTTCCATCCGACATGAAATTTCACAATATTCACTCGTTAACTCAGCACTTATGGAGAAAGATCCTTATGATTTATAAAAGTCTCGAGATGAATATGATTAGTCCGATGAAAGGTTCACTGAACAAAAAGATAGATGCGCTGCAAAATAGAAAGGTCCGATGAAATGTCCGGTAGCATTAAGAAGAAATTCGTATAACTCACATTCGATAAATGCGCTGTTCTTTTGTTCGATTAGTAATATCCTTTATAATTGCAAAGGACTTTTTGTAAAGTGGACATTTTCTGGATCTTTGCCAGCCCTCTTTTTTTAGAGTGTATACTCACCCTTTACACTTACATTATTTTTCTGCGTGTGTTTTATCAAAACACTCACGATAATTTTTATCAGTAGGGCACTGCATCGAGATAGCAGAGAGTGAAAGAGCAGAGAATTAATAAGGATACACAGAAGAAAAAACGATACAATATGCGAGTAAAGTAACTTGGCTCACGATTAAGACCAACTGTAAGGCGATGAATTTTTATGGAGCCAGCCGTGATACCCTGAAGCTATATTTTTCAACCTCTTTCTTATAAGAATAAAGTACGAGTAGTTCTTTATCACTGGTAAAATAATCGTCGGATTCGATCAAACTATGGTAGAGAAAAGTCAAGTTTTTCGCAGTCTTGTGCCACTTTTGGGACATCCTGTAGGAAATAAAGGTCTCTTTGAGAACTCTTTTCAAAGCCTTTTCAAATTTGAATCTAGATTCGTATTCTTTCAAATTATGGGTTCAGGACCTTCAAGCTCATCTTCCAACTCATCTTCAGAAATTCGGTACCTTTAATTAATCGTTTCTTTAGTGTAAATAACTTCATTTTATTTTCTAGGCTTAGTGAAAAACCAGATATTAGAAATTTTGGAACGATTGTGAAAATTTCAATTTATGGTAACGGCTTAGTGCATGGAGGCTTTTGGTTTGGCACACATCATGTATTTAGTGTGCTTCAAACTGAAAAAGGTATATTTACACTACTGGAGGTTGCGAAATGCAGCAATGGAAAAATAAATATACACATGGGAACGGCCAAGTCTCTCTCAGAAGTTATTAAAACACGACTTAATACACAAGATAAAGAAACGTTTTGGAGATCTGATAATGTTAAGATCTCTCCATTACTCGTACAACAGGTAATCGACGAATATCATGGAAATGTTTATCATCCTACTGTGAGAAGTTGTAGAACGTTCGTGGACAACATTTGTTCAGTATGTAGGTCAAAAATACGATGCGTAATGCCCGATGAATGGTGGGCATTTTGGTGACTTTACCAGCGAACGGATATTATTAACTTCTTGTGAAATTTGGGTGAGGGTGTGTGATTAGTTACTGGTCGTTCCACGACAAACAGTTGTTTCTATATTGATGTAACTTCATCAGGTGATAACTCAATATTATATGTACTTCGAAATTGTAACTCATTATTATTTATATTTATATTACATAGAAATTAAATAATTCGATATAATAATGAATTGATGTATTTGCACAATATAATTTTCCAAAATAGAATTAAATTTTAAACTAAAAATCTTAAGCGATTATTAGAAGCCAATATCTATTTTATAAATGAAAACTATTTTAAATTTAATATCAAAGATGTCTATATGTTTTACTATGTGTTCATGATGAGAAATAACAGTAATGTTGCAGATTGTTTGGATTGTGAAATACTTAAATTTATCTAGAATTGTAGGAATGAAAAATGGCCAAGGGAGAAAAGGCGGACTTCGTACTCCCGAAATTTTCATTGGATTTTCTAGATCCCATCATATTCAAAATTCAAATTTTTTTCTAGATTACCTATATTTTTGAAGGTGTGCATCGTATCTCCAAGTTCTCTCCCTCTTATTTCATGAACTTGTGATGATATTCATTCTTTTACAAGTAAAAAGCTTTTTAGCCATTATAATATAAGTCTTAAAAAAATCGCCTCTAGAAGCTGCTACTGAAATAACAAACACGGAATAGGCTCTATATTTCCTTTTGCTGTATCGATGAAAGAGAAATGAAACGTAAGAACACTGATATCAACTGGCATAATATGTAGCATCGTCTCAGCGATAAGATTCGTTTTATTAAACAAACTGATTGGTGAATTTGTCTCAGTTAATCAGATTATGAGTGAACTATTTCATGTGCCAAGTGCAAGCAAACTATTTATTGACATCTTATCTCTTTGGAGCTATTAAAGTTCGAAGTAAATTGTTGATAAATAGCAAGACAATACAGTTGCACACGAAATTGATTTTCTCAAGCTCTTGAGAAAAACGGCACCTCCGCACGTTCATATGTAGATGAAATGCTTTGTTTTGCCTATGTCAACATAATTTACATTGAATTTAGCGTTGTAGTGTTCTTTGCCGTCATATGAATAATCTTGAGTTCTATTTCATGAATCCTTCATAGATTTCTTTCTATTCATAATTATACCTTAAGTCATACTTCATAGAAATATTTGTCCTCGTTTTAAAAGAGAATAGCGGAGTATATAACTAGGAACGCGCAGGTATCATTATCGCGAAACCTCATCATTAAGAAATAACCACCGAGAATACGTCTACACAAAAAGTGTTAATGAAATCGTTGATAATACCGATGGATCAATCGTGATGTACAAGTATCGTCAGCTTCGTTCATGGAAAACAGCAGCTGTTCCACCACAAGTCAGCGTTAAACGTTTTGGCATCTGGGTTACTGACGGATGCGATAATCAGTAACTCCATCTAATTGAGAGTTTTCAGTTCTTGTGAAAAACTTGGAGGGCTATATGAATCCACAAAACGTGTGAAACATTCATCTTGTTTTCAAATATTCCTATCTACTGAATAAGTTGTTCGTTTATGCAAAGCTCTTGTGTTGTTGATATCCATTCGATTATCTGAATTCAATAAAATTATTAGTCAGTGTTTTTTTAATCAAAAAATGAGCATAAAAAATATTGTAGTAGATACAATCGATCTTTTTACGTTGATAAGTATCTGTATATAGCTTTGGAGTAATGTAGTTTTTCTTTACAGCATCTATTTTAAAGAAAGAGAATAAAAATCAGTAGCAACTTGATTAAAGAAATAAAAATAGACAAAAAATTGAGATTTAATCAATTATTGTTGTCTTACACAGTGGACGTTGCCATTTCTCATGACATACTATGTGGGTGGTTTTCAATTGACTGGTATATTCTCAATTATAGGTGTTGCGTGTGTTCGTTATATTTATTTTGCGTTTTCGGGTTTTTTAATTGTTCTGGTTGAAATGGTTTTGTTTAGTTGATGATGGATAATATGAAGCTGTGTTGACTGGTATGATATTCTAGTTATACTTTGTTTTTTTTTTGACGCTTTATTTGAGTTAGGCGTGAGATTCGCTTGTGTATTCGAAAGATTATTGCAGTTTCTGTCTACACTTAGGAGTTTAATTTTTTTCTTTGTCGTTAGTTTCAAATAAAATTTCAACTTTCCGTCGCATGAGTTATTCCTGTTTTCCGTGAGCTACTATGTAAAGTAATGATATTTTTCTGTCGCGTAATAATTGGATACTAAGATGAAAGTTTTAAATGATCACTTTTATTCCTGTGTGAAAACATTGAGAATAGCATTAAATAATACAATGTATAGATGCTAAACCGATACCCCGTCATTCGCAATCGTTTATAACTATGAGTAACTATTCCAGAGCAATACTTTTTGTTTTGGTCTTTTATGGGGATGCAAGCCACTATTAATTTTTTATCTGACTTATATAAACTACACATTAAATTTTGTTTCTTCTCTTCTTTAGACTGTGTTGAGATCAATCAAGAACAATCCGAATCTGAAATTACTGTAAGTGAGCACTTAAGTAAACAATGTTTTCTTTTCGCTTCGTTTCAGAGCTGCAAGTTGGAATTATATGCACCACAATTAATTTTATTTTCGTTTATCTAACATGAATTAAGTATATATTCAGTTTTTGTTGTCTTCTATTTTTTAGGATGTGTTTGTCATCGATCAAGAACAATCAATCTACAATAACTATAGGTATGCATTCTATATTTTATTTTGGTTTCAGAGGTGCAAGTCAGAACTATTCAAAGTACAATCATTTTATTTTACTTTTCATAAATGAAATATGTATTTATTCATTTGTTTTTCTCTACTTTAGAATATGTTCGGGTATCGATGAAGAAGAATCAATCTGAAATGACCATAGGCAAGTGTTCAAATACATATTATTTGTATTTCGTTGCAGAGGTGCAGCTGAGAATTAATCAAATTACCATTTTTTTATTTTCTGTTATTTAACATATGTAAACTACGTTTTCATACTTTTTGTTCTTCTCTTTTTTGGAACGTGTTTGTTTTGATCTTCAACAATCAATATAAAATAACTCTATATAAGTATTTAAATAAATAATATTTTTTCTATTCTTTTTATTTCAGATGTACAAGTTGGGATAAAACAAATTAAAATTGCAATCATTTTATTTTATGTTGTCTAGCATAAGTAAATTACATATTAATTTTTCTTTGCTTCTCTTCTTTAGTCTGTGTGCGTGCATCTATCAAGAAGAATCAATCTGCAATATCTATCATTAAATATTCAATATTTTATTTTCATTTCAGTAATGCAAGTTATAATTGCACAAATTACAATTCATTGTTATATATTTTATTTTTGTTTCTTCTCTTGTTTTAGAATGTGTTCACATCGATCAACAGCAATAATGTTTTTTAATAGGGAAATATTCAATATATTCCAAATTTATTATTACATCAAATGTTTTTAAAGATTTACTTCTTTCCTCTTTTGTTCTAGATCTTCTATTATGATTCTTGAAAAGGTTGACAAATGGTTACGAATTAAAGTGTATAATTAATTTTTAAGATAAACAATATACTTTTTTTTATTCATTTCAGTGGTGCAACTTACAATTTTTCAATTTTCTATATTCTTGGTATCTAATATAAATCTTTTCTCTTCTTTTAGGCTGCATACCCGGATCTATCAAGAAGAATCAATCTGCAATAACTATCATTAAATATTCAATATACTTTTCTTTTTCATTTCAGTGGAGCAATTTGGAATTCTACAAATTACAATTCATTTTTATATATTGAATATTTTTTCTTCCCTTGTTTAGAGTATTTATTCACATCTATCAACAACAATAGTATTGGTATTCTTTTCTTGTTTGGCTTGTACAATGGCGAATTGAAAGATAATTATTCATTTTTTTTTATGAACATATTTGCAAATAGTTAATATAATCCAGATTTATGTCTTTTCTTTTATTTGTTCTAGATATTCTATTATGATGCTTGGAGTGTTTGACAAATGGTTACGAATTAAACTGTATAAGGATCTATAAGTAATATTTAAAATAAACAATATACTTTTCTTTTTCATTTCAGTGGTGCAACTTACAATTATCTAATCATGTTTTGTATCTAACTTAAATAAACTCTATATTCATTTGATTTAGTTGTATCTGCTTCTTTTTTCTCGTTCTAGATCTTCTATTATGACCCTCAAGAATGGTTGACACTTATAATTATATATCAATGGGTATACGATGCTTCTGTATAATATAATCATTCGATGTTATTTTTCGTTTCAGATGTACAATTTTCTATTATTATTATTATTTTATTAATTTAAAATAAATAAACTACATATTCTTTCTGTCTTTTGTTTTTCTTTTCTTTATAATTTGTGTTCATATTAATCAAGTACAATAATAATAACTATTTCTTCTTCTTTTATCCAATATGGACAATAAAAATGTTAATTACTTTTCTTTTTTATTTTAGATATTAAATACATTTCAGAATAATACTTATTTAATAATTTACTTTTTTCTTTCAGATAAATTTATATTGATCGTCTTTAACAACAACAACGAACATCTCCATGATACTATATCATCAGACAAGAGAGGTTCGTATTATTTTACTTAGTCCTTGTTTTGTTATGTATATGATAGCCTGTCAGAGCGGCTTCGTTGCCTGACCCAGATAGATTCTTCGTGTCACTCTGTTGCGGCGAAGTAGTGTAGTACTCGGGAAGGCCTCTATTATGTGCGTATGGTCCTGGACGTCGTACGGACGGGATACCT